AAATACTTTATTCATCCGTCAAATTTACTCTTATTTCTTTTAGTATGTCGGTTAAATTTATTCAATTATTATTTTTGGCAAAGTCAATAAATTAATATTTATTTATTACTCATAATTCAATACTTATTTACAATATATATCCCTACATTTATTACATTGTCTTTTTATTTACTTTAATTTCTAGCTAAGTTTTCAAAATAACTCAAACTACCTTTATACTTTTATTATTTTTAATAAAATATTTATTTTTTTTAATTTACGTGCTGAATCCAAATGAGTTAATTTTAATGACCCGAGGGAGTATATATTTTTAATTGTAATAGACAAAAATTATATTACAAAAGTTTATATATTATTTCGAAACTTCTTAAAGTACAATTTATATTTATAAAATGTTAATATACTATATTTTCTATGAAAAAATGAAAATTCTTTTTTTTTTTCTTTTTTCTTTTTCCTTTACAATAAATAATTGTATTGTAATCATTCACAGTAAAACAATACTCCCTCAGTCCCGCATAATTTGTCCATATTTTCTATTTTCGTCCGTCCCACGTAATTTGTCTTTTTTTTTTTTTTGGAAAATTGATTATACACTTTAATCATGTTTTAAAATTTATTTTTTTTTTAAAAAAAAAATCTTAATTAAACTATTTAGTTATTTTAATCTATAATTATTTAAACTAATATACTTCTTAATTACTTACTAATTATACTTTACCTAAATTATCGTATATACAGTAATGTGCTTGTCTTATCTATGACGGAGAGAGTATTTAAATGAAGTGCAACAAAATAAATAAATAAATGTATCTACCTACAACTTCATAACAATACATATAACTTAGGGTGTGTTTGTTTGAAGGATTTTGGTGGATTTTCACTATTCATCCAATTTTTTCTCCCCAAAAACATCAAATCAAACACCTATTTTTTATTTTTTATATTATACTAAAAATCAATTTTACATTCAAAACATCACATCAAACCCTATTTATATCACATCATACAACTATTCAAATTCAAAATTTTTATTATTCAAATCCCAACTCAAAATCCAAACCCCCGAACAAACACACCCTTAATAAATTATACAACCAAATTTATATTTGAAAATTTCAATATATAAATTAGTACATAAAAACATTGTTGAAAAACTAAGATTCATAAAAATATTTGAAAATACTCAACTATGTTCACTTTGATCTTTTTAAATTATAGTATTTAAATAGTATTTTAATTTAACATTTTATATAAAAAATAATTTATTTTTATTAAGAATTATAAAAATTAAATATTAAAATAAATAAATAATGTATACAAATAACAAACTTGACGTTTATACTTATAATCAAGATCTACTATATCGATTTCGATAAAATAAAAAAGATTTACTAGATCTATGAATTAGAAAATTCTATTAGTTTTTTTAAAAAATAATAAAAATAAAAATTTTCAAAAATTTAAAAATGTAATTTATTTTAGTTTATTAATAAAATGATCATGTCCTTATTTATTTTAAATTCACAATAGTATATTATATGGCTTAATAGATTTTTATTAATATTTATACTTATTCTAGTTTTTCTTATTATTTGGCATAATAGATTTTTATTAGTTTTAAATTTCAAAAGTTTTTATGTAAATAAATTTATAATTTCTATGGGTTGAAAGGATTGTTTGGTTGTGTATTTTCAGAATTAAAACTACTATAGGATTGTTTGGTTTTATTTTCTTCAATATGTTCATTATTAATATATAATAATTTAATCTTTTACCAAGATATCATATATATATATTTATTTATTTGGTATATTATATTTTAAAAAAAAGTTACTCTATTTATTTAGACTATTTAGATCCGATACGGATATTAGAAAAAAATAAATATTTTTATTAAAAAAAGTAAGAAAAGCAGAAAGATAGTTAAAAATTATTTTAAAAATTTAGTTATTAGTTAAAGATAATGAAGATAAAAAATATAATAAAATAATAATATTTGTTATAAATAAATATTGGATGAATAATAACAATTCAATATTGATTTTTTTTCAAATTTAATAATAGAATAAATTTAACCATAAAAAATAAAATAAAAATCATTTGAACAGAGGAAAATTATTTAAATATCATATTAACTATATATTTATATATTTATATTATACTATTAAATAATAATTAAAATTAAATTTTTTTACTATTTAAAAAAAAACAAACAAAAAATACAACTAAAATAAACTCATATTTTCATTGAAAATTTTAAAAAATGGTAATTTATTAAAATAAAGATAAAAAAACGAAATATCATAGATATGTACATTAAGGATGTGTTTGTTTGGGGACTGGATTTTAAATATACTATTCATCCTATTTTTTTCCCAAAGACATCAAATTAAACACATATTTTTTATTTTTTATATTATACTAACAATCAATTTTACATTCAAAACATCACATCAACACCTATTTATATTTCATCATACAACTATTCAAATTCAAAATTTATACTATTCAAATCCCAACTCAAAATCTAAAACCCCAACAAACAAACACACCCTAAAGGTATCAAAATCAATGGCAATAATTTTTTGTTTGTAGTGTTTTTTTTTTTTTTTATGGAGAATGCATCGACAATATAAAAATAGTATTTTGTACTCAAATTTTATTTATTTATTTTTTTTGAAAAAATATAATATAATATATATTATATTTTTTTATTAATATTTATTAAAAATGATGTTAAAATAGTTACACGAATAAACCAAAATTTAATATTTTAATCTAAAAAGATGTGTACAAATGTTGTTATTTTAAAAAAATAATATATTTAATACTTATTTTATTAAAAAAAATTCAAATAATAAAATTTTCATATAAAATATAGTATCATCTAATTATTTTAACAAAAAATCAAAAATAAAAAACAAATAAATAAACATAGATAAGTTCAATTGAAGTTTGGTTTCAATTTTTTTTAGTATGTTTTGTACTTTCTCCGTCTGTTTTAGAAAATTTGATTCCGACACAGAAATTTAAAAAATTAATATTTTTTAAAAAAAAGTAATAAAAATATAAAGATAGTTAGAGGTATTTTTGAAATTTAGTTAAAAATTAAAGCAAAGAACGAGCGAAAAAGTAATAAATGTAGTAATATTTGGTGTAAATTGAATGAAAGATAATAGTTAAATATATATTTATTGATTTTTCCAAAATTAGTAATGAAGTAAATTTAACGGAAAGAGTAAAAAAAAAGTGAGAGTAAATTTGACGGACGAAAAAAATATAAATTTTCTGTAAAAATATACTCCATCCATCCCACATACCACGTCAACGTTGTCATTTCTGTCCGTCCCACATACCATGTCACTTTCATTTTTTTGGAAAATGATTACACACTTTAATCTTATTTTAAATTTTTAAATTTTTTTTTAAAATTTTTGTTAAACTAATTAGTTATCTTAATCTTAATTTATAATTATTTATATTATTGGATAATTGTTTTTACTAATACATTTTTAATTATCTACTAATTACATCCCTCCTAAAATACCGTATCTACAGTGTAGCAGATACGATATATAGGACGAAGGTAGTATTATTTTTTGGTCATCTAAAGATATATTCATACTTCTGGATACAAAATTAAATATGAGTATGTAATATACTAAAATCCGGTATTTTTATTGTTTATAGTAAAAAATCTACAAATATAGTAAATAAATAAATACATTTTACTAAAAATAAAAAGAAAATGAGTTTGTTTTGTTTTGATTTGAAATTAGGGTGATGAAACCAAATTTTTTTACTAAAAAAATTTAAAAGTAAAAAGATCACTTCCAATTCAATGAATTTCAATTATAATTTAAATAATATTTTGATATAAAAATAAAATATATTTATATTTATTGAGAACAATAAAAATTGAATATTGACTATTTTGATTTGAAACAAAAATTAAACACACCAAACTTTGTTCATCAGAGATTATTGGAAAGCTTTAGGGTCTGTTTGTTTGGTGTTTTGATTTGAGATATTTTTCATAAGAAGTATTGAGAATTGTATAAGTAATATAAAAAAAATATTTTACATTAAATATTGATTTTTTATGAAATAATATGAGTTTGTTTGTCTTTCTTTTTTTGATACAAAATTCTCAATATATTTATATTTTACTATTATTTTATATAAATTTAGCATTCAATATAAAATACTACAATATAAAATACTACATCTGTCTACTGTCAATACATCTATACAACGATAGTACAAATCAACAAAAAATAACAAAAATACTTCTATTAGTGTCTTATAATATTTAATGATATTTGTACAAACAAATTAAAAATATTTTTAACTTTAAAATTAATAATGTCAAATGCAAATGAATAAATTAACAGCGAAAGAAAGTAGTATTATTTTTAATATTATCAACGTGATTATTTATACTTTAGATAAAAAATAAAAAAAAAATAGTTCAAATCAAAATACTAAACAAATAAATTCTATATATTATATATTAGCAATCCTGTAAAAAAAATTATTAAATAAACAAACAGTTAAAATTGTGAAAGTTTAAAAATAATAAAAAAATTAATAATTGATATAATATTTTATAAAAAAATATATATTTAATATAATATTTTTTAAAAAAAGTTAAATAATACAAAAATTCAAAAATATTGTTGTAAAAATATAGCCAGTACATTTAAAGACACAACAAAATACAAATACAACCAAAAGTTCAACTAAAAAATTTAAAAGCTAAAAAATAAAAAATAACAAACTTATTGAATATGATTCTGACCTGGCGAGTGAGCAGAAATTTCCCCCAGAGTGGGGCCCACCGTAAAAAAAAAAAAATTATATAATTTCTCTCTTTTCCTACTCACACGCATTTATTAATTACGATTTTTTTGTTAAGGAAATAATAATAATTATTACTCATTTTATTCAGAAACGGGAATATATATATATATATATATTTGTGAGTTAGGGCCAACATTTCTCTCTCAAAATATTCTCCCATTTGATTTCTGATTGTAAACCATCTTTCAATTCAATCTCACCACACCACAAAAGCTTGCATTTTGATGCTCTCTGCTCCTCATTTGGTACTCCTTCCCCTCATTTCTCTCCGTTTTTGAGCTTTGCTGTTCTCAATTTCGTTGGTTGCTTCATGATTTTTGGTTGTTAGGGCTCAACACCTTTGAACTGGGGGTGGGATTTATTGTTATTGTTGTTATTATTAATTTCTTGTTTTTGCCGCCCTCGGATTGTGTAATCGTTGCTAATTTGGGAGGCTTGCGTTGATTTTTTTTGAGGTGCTTTAGGCTTTAGCTGAATGTGTTGCTGGTTTTATGCAATCACTGCTTAATTCTGTTGGTTGTGATGTGACAGATGGTGTAGGAGTTTTGTTTTTATTTTTCCCTTTTTCTTTTTGGTTAATTTTGTTCGGTTCCTACTCGGAAGTGGTTTGTTCTGGAGTTGGCAATCGTCGAGCTGTGAATGTATCATCCTGGAATGAATTATTCGCGCGAGGGTGGGATGCTGTGGATTCCAACTAGGTTTGTGTGGCCTTATGGAGGGAGAATTGTGTTTATCAGTGGCTCGTTTACAGGGTAGGAATCAATTACCGTCTGAAATGTTGTTCTTATTTTTGTTAATTTTGGTTTCAATCCTGTTTACCGTTTTGCTTATCTTAATTTGTGGTGAAGGTGGACTCAATGGCCGATGACGCCAGTGGAGGGTTGTTCGACAGTGTTTCAGACTATCTGTAGCCTCCCTCCAGGGTATCACCAGGTAGATGTTGTAACTGTTGTTAAGGTTTTTGTTTTCACACTGGTTTGTCCCTCGTGCGGTGTTATTGTTTAATTGATTAACGGCTAGTGGAAATAGTAAAGTTAGATATGAATTTATTTTATTAGTAGTCGGTGATTCTGTAGAACGGATGATATATATTTCTGTGTCGCCAAGCACGCTTGGTATGCTATTTCACGTGCAGACGGTGCGTTATGGCGGTGTGTCAGCTTATTGATCTTGTAGAGTAACTGACTTTGTCCGTTGCAGGCCGCCGTTTCGATCATGTCTCCTTTCCTCGTGATTCTCGTCTTGTTTACATTCTGTTGTGGGATGGTGTTTTGATCATGTCTTTTTTTCTCGTTAATTTCGTGTTGCCTCTTCTCGATCCTAAGCCTGTGATGATTGAGTGTTAAATGTTATTCTCGTGATTCTCGCCTTGTTTACATTGATGGTGTTTTGATCATGTCTTCTTTTCTCGTTATTCTCGCCTTGGTTATATCGCCTGTTTTCGGTCGTATGCTTTGATGGTTAAGTGTTGACTTAATGTGAATGTGCTATACTGTCATTTGCCTTTATATGATGCCATAATAATATAATATCCTTAATCGGAAATGGGATTTCAGATATTCTAGCGTAATCTTAAGAACATGTTATATTCTAATAAATGTTGACACGTTTTCGTATGATGTATGTCTAGCATTGTACACTCTAAGAGTAGGGTTCTCATTATATAAACACTTTTAGAACTTTTGGTACTATTTATCAACGGTAACTTTTTTAAAAAACGATCACATCATATACTTTTTTAATCTTAAACATCACATTAAATACTCTATTTTTTACTATTTCCAAAATTTTCCAGAACACCGAAACTTCTATCTAGACGGGTCTTAGATTCGCATATTTGCAAGATTAAATCCAGCAATGAGTTGTTAGTTATCAATAGAATTAATGAGTCTTAGTTAGCTGGTAAGTTGGTGAGTTGGTAATTTGTTATGTTCAGAAACTAGGTGAAAGGATGGTGCAGGGTGGTTTTAACTTTTTAACTGATTTGTTACGACTCCTTTTGACCATACTGAGATTAATTTGAAAGTTGTCATAAATAAGCATAACTTTTTGAGTGTCTTATATGGCCACTAAAGAGTTTGTTTGTGATTCTGTAGTTCAGATATTTATCAGCAACTGATTCACGTAATACTATTATTATGTATGGTTTAACTAACTAGAAATGAAAAGAATTAAACTTTGTACAGGCTTTACTCATTAGTATTCTATTTTTGTTTTCCCCCTTTTGTTTTTATCGGTTCACTTTTCTTCGAGTTATCTCTACTTACCGAATATAAAGTCATATCCACCGTGTATTCCCAAAATACGCAAGTTAATAATTGCCTTTAATTTTGTATATGTGAAAACTCACACAATATTCCTATACAATTGTTGTTCATGCTCAAGTGATAAATAATACTAAATACTCCCTCCTTCTAAATAAATGCGCTCATGCTTTTGGGCACAAGGTTTAATAAAAGTGTGTTTTTTGTTACTTTTTACTATTTATGGTAAAAATGTATAAAAAGTGATATGATTTTTTACTAGAAAAGAAAATACAAACATCATAAAGAGACGGATAAATAAGAAAAGTGAGCACATTTTTAAGAGACGGAATTATAAGTATTCCTAAGGATTATTTGAATGTCAAATATTCTGTGAACAAATCCTACCACATGAGTCCATGTATTGTTGGTATTTGGAGCTGGCTTTTTTTATCCCTATCTGGTGTAATCTTGTTTGAAGATAATTGTGTGGGTTGTATGGAACTCTATTTGATGAATTCATTATCATTTTCATAAACTGTTATTTATGTGCTTTCAGTACAAGTTTGTGGTTGATGGCGAGTGGAGACATGATGAACATCAGCCTTTCATCAGTAGTAGCATTGGAACGGTGAATACTATCCTCATCACTCGGGAATCTGAGTTTCTTCCGCCAATGCTAAGCCAACCCATGACTCTCTCCGGTCCTGTTTCCAACATGGAGGTCGATAACAATGCCATAAATTCTCCCTATCGTATGGTATGCCATTACTGATCTTTCCTTTATTATAATTGCTTTACCGGGCTTTATTCATTTTTATGTGTCATTATCTACAAAAGTTTCTCTCTTTCTCTCTTAATTAAAAAAAAAAAGAAAAAGGAAAAGGAAAAGGAAAAGTTTGATTACTTTCCAAAGTCTGCAATTGCCAACTATAGCTGTTTTTCAAATTCTATTTTCAAATTTAACTCAAGTCGGTATAAACCTAATCTTGAGCACAACTCATTCTTATGACTAATGAGCTGAGCTTTTGAACAGTTTTAAGTGCATAATAATTTTATCGCTAGAACAAATCTTAGGATAACATATTGGCCTTATTTATGTTTTCCAAATTGCAGTTTCAGGCTATAGCTATTATTTACAATTTCATTATCTATAGTTCTTACGAAAGAAGACAGGGATATGGATACACGATGATATATGCATAAGATATGTTTTAGGTCTAAAAATAGAAACATTCGAATATGTTATAGAGACATGTGATGAACAAATGAGAATTGAAAATTTATATATATTTCCTTTTCTATAATCCGATAGTTATTACACCACGCTACTTTGGAAAACCTTATAGCTCATGGATCTGTAAACTTGTGATTTTATTGTTTTCAGCTATAGATGTCTCCACGTGTCATGACTGTAGGCTTTCTTTTCCATATTTCAACATTTTAGCCATATGGCTATTTCATTGATAAATTTTTCATGAAAATATCAGGTACGATTGAGAGAAGGTACACCCCCTGAGCCCATCCCAACAGTATCAGATGCTGACATTGAGATCTCTCGTCATCAAATAGATTTGTTCATGTCAACACACTTAGCTTATGAGTTGCTCCCTGAATCTGGAAAGGTTTGATTTATCTCTGCCTTCTATTTGCTATAATCATTACATTGATTTTTTTCCGTCCCTGTTTTATTGATTTTTACTTGATTTTAGGTTATCGCATTGGATGTTGAGCTGCCTGTAAAACAAGCATTTCATATCTTACATGATCAGGTACCTTTATTTATTGATCATGGTCAACTTCGCATATTGTTTTCAGTGAATGTGGTGCTAACTGAATTATTCTAAAAATATGAGAATATGCTGGCATTTTTTTGCCCATTCTGTTCTGGAATGTTATCAAAAAGTTAATATTTTATTTAATTGTTCCATATTCATGAGAGCCAGGACTCCGTAATTTACCTACTTCTGGTTTGATGATGTGCTGAATTTTGTAGTCCGTCAATTATTTCAGATGCTTTGTTTTAACTCTCTGTTTGACGAACATATTCTTTTCAGGGGATCCCTATGGCAGCCTTATGGAACAGTCCGAAGGGAAAGTTTGTTGGTGTTCTTAGTGCTCTCGATTTTATATTAATTATGAGAGAGGTAGGCAACTGTATCTTTTGTCGTTATCTTGAAGTGAATCCCTCTTCATAAATTTCAACAGCCTAATTAGTAATTACTTTAAAACATAATTAGATGCTTTTGATTGTTTCCATGGATGTGGTTTGCGCTTAATGCTACACTGAACAGTAATACAACTTTTTATTTCTTATGGTTCGTATATATTTCTGCAATAATCTAAATATGGGAGATTTATTGGCAAAAGAAACGACTCGAATCATCATTGCTCATGGATGTGAAACACTCTCAACATGTTTCCTAACTTTATAGTTTTACAACTTGCTTCTGCGACTTGAATCATCATTTTGAATTTTTCGTGTTTATACACTTATGTGGGTTTATACTAGCTACCTAATAAACAGAGACATAATCATATAACTCCTCTATTACTTTGATTTTTTTTCCTCCCTCTATTTTCGCCATAAAATCTTATTATGGAATTTGTTGATGTTCTCAATGTGTGGCAGCTTGGCAGTAAAGGTTCCAATTTGACGGAGGAAGAATTGGATACACATACTATATCTGCTTGGAAAGAAGCAAAATCTTACATGAATAGTCAAGTTGCTGGGCAAGGATGTGCTTCTAAACAACTGATACAAGTAAGTCACTATGTCAATATCCCGTTTCCAAATGCAGCATATAATGTATCTACCTGGAATCAGTCGTTCAAAATATCAAATTTGAACATTGATGTAATGGACAGTTCCCCTAACCAGCTGTGTCTTTCACAATGATGTTTCTCTTTAAATTTAGAACTATAAATGCCAAGAAATGGATCTAGTCATCATGTAAATTTGTAGATGTTGGATATAAATCATGCACCAGTCAATTAAAAGTCTCATGCTGCGTATGGATAATTTTTACTATGAAATCTCTCCTTCGCAGTGATAAATTGTCTTCATTATTTGAGCTCATACGGCCAAAAGAGTATACCATTCATCATGTCAGTGTGATAAGCATCAGCGATAAATTATACACCTTAGACAAGTTGTTGAAAATTGTGATATATTTTATGTACACATTTGTCTTATACATTGTCGAAGATAATTATGAAACTTAATAAAGACTATGTCGTATGTTTGAACTGGAAATATACTTTAGATTTTCTTGTCTTTCTTTTTCTGGCATTCTAACATTTGTCTCATGCGTATCAAATTTTAAGTTCTGAAATGGAGAAGTTTTCTGCTATAGATTCTGCGCATGTTTATTTCGTTTTCAAGTATATCTCATAATTGTAACTCCCTAATCTTGATAAAATACATGCCACTTTTGGAAAAATATTTATATGGTTTGTTTCAAGCTATTTTCTTCATCGGGGCTTAACACATAGCGGACGATATTTTTCAGGCTGGACCGGACGACAGTTTGAAGTCAATTGTTTTGAAGATTTTACAAAATGGTGTATCCACAGTTCCAGTCATTCATTATCCTTCTGCAGATCCCTCAAACCCACAGCTATTACATCTGGCTTCACTTTCTGGAATCCTAAAATGTGAGCAACATGACCCAGTCTCTTAATTTCCACTCTCTGCAAAAATAATGTCTCTTTGTGGAGTATTAATTTATTTTGATCATTTAACAAAAAAAATGCTCACGAGTTTGCAAAGATTGACATATCTGTTGCTTTGCAGGCATTTGCCGGTTCTTTAAGCATTCACCAAGTTCGTTACCAGTGCTTCAGTCGCCAATTTGTGCAATCCCTTTGGGCACTTGGGATCCAAAAATCGGAACTCAAAACGAGAAGCCATTAGCTATGTTGAGACCGAATGCTCCACTCAGTGTAGCATTGGATTTGTTAATTCAAGGTATAATCTAGTCACCATATTTGAGATGACTGTGCTCTCATTAATTCATGATATGCCGTACTCATTTTTTTGTAATGTTTTTACTCCTTTGCAGCCCAAGTTAGCTCAATTCCAATTGTGCATGAACATGACTTTTTATTGGATGTGTATTCCCGAAGGTTGGTACATTATTGCTCGCCATACTTGTAGAGTTTCAATTTAACATCTCTACTTTTATTAACAAGTTGTTCTTTGAACAGTGATATAACTACTTTGGCAAAGGACAAAATGTATACTCACATTAACCTCGAGGAAACTAGTGTTCATCAGGCAAGTATTTTACTCTATTATATCTATATTGTATTTAAATTAGTTGCTATGAACCATTTCTGAGGAAAAGGGTGAATGCCAACAGTGCTGATTTTTATATCTTTTTTTATATTTCTATAATTCTTGCCCATGAGGAAGATAATAAATAATTAACAACTATTAGTCTTTTTTCCCCCTAATTTATTGCACCAAACTAATCTCGACTTGCTTTGGTCTACTGGATTTTATTTGCAACAGTCTGGCCACCATGACCTTAAGTGTAGAACAAAGGTCTGTTATTTCAGTGATATATATGCTATTAAGCGTCGCAATGTAGGGATTCAATCACAGTTTCTGTATGTGTCTCTGCTAGATTCTTTGTTTGAGGTTCATGTGCACACTTACTGCGTGTAAAATTAATATGTTAGTATTGCTTCCACTGGGAAATAGATGCCATTTAGACTTTGGCTTTGGTAAGGAGATCATAAAATATATGACTAAAAGTCGTCATTCTTGTCCTTTACTAATTATCAAGTTTTCATTTTAACTTCCTCTGTTTGGATTTTTCAGGCATTACAGTTGAGAGATGACCCCATTTCTTTGTTCGGAACAAATCAACGGTACTTTACTTGCCTGCGGACTGATCCTTTCCATAAAGTACTTGAGCGACTCTCCCAACCAGGTTTGCTTCAATCTCAAAATAAGAATACATATTTTATGTTTTTTGCTCCCAGTGGTAACTTTTGAATTATTAACTAAACACGACAGAGTATTTAATGATTTTTAAATAGAAGATTCTTTTCAATATTTTTTTATCCCCCTCGTATTGTGCAATTCACCCATGATAGTATAGTGCTTGATAAAAACAAAATTATTTCATTCTAGTGTTTTTTTTGGCTGGTATCATCATATGTAGAAATTTAACGACATTAAATTATTGCAATTTTTGACCGCCCGATTTTTTATTTTTCCATTTAAATAATATAAGGTTTTGTGACAGCATGAGTGAATGTTCTTCATTCTCAAGCGGAAAAATCTTTTCTTATGGAGCTAAAATTGTGATAATTTGGTATCATTCTGAAAATTTTGTAACCAATAGGATCAAACATTCTCCTTTATTAAACAATCATGTTTACATCAATGTACCTGAACTGTTCAATTATTTTGTTCCATGCTTTAGGGGTTAGGCGCCTCATCGTTGTCGAAGCTGGATATAAGCGTGTGGAGGGCATCATTTCATTGGGTGACGTCTTTCGGTTTCTCATGGCAGTTAAACAGTGAATTCACCACCTGTCGGCCCTGCCATGGTATGCCCTCTGATTCATGGCTTGGTTGCCCTTTTTTTTTTCTCTTAAGTTAATAGGATGACAGTATGAGGGGATTTTCAAGTTACATGGCCTGTCAAATGTAGCTCAAAATATTTTTTGGGCCAAAAAAGAAAAAGTCGAAAATCAAATCTTTGGGATGATGATTGAATCAAGATTGGATGGTTCAAAATTTTTTCCCCCTTGTCCTTTTTAATGTATAATTCTTGCCGTTTCATTTTGTTGTATAACCTGCCTTGATCATCCTCGCTGTCCCAGCGGGTTGAGTCCAAGTCTGGTCTGTCTGTACTGAAGTTTGAATTCTTCAGAACTTTAGGAGTAGTTTATGGCTTATTGCGCCCCTTCTCTTCTTCCATTTTAACAATTTTTTGGTTGCTCTTAATGGAAAATGAAATATTTAGGGAGAGAGAGAAAAAAAAAAAAAAAACAAAACAGAAAGAAAGAGTGAGAAAACAGATAGTCTGAAAATGAAGAGCAGCTTGTATATTGTAGCTACATATTTTTTTTGGAGCTTTTGTTAATTTTTCATGAGCATTTAGCACTATTTAAGTATACTTTTGTATTCAAGAATGGATTTATTTTATGGGATGAAATTCACGAGCTCGAACAGCAAAAAAAAAAAAAAAAAAAAAAGAAAAGAAAAGAAAGAATGGGACTAAGAAAGTTTTTGCTGAAGTTTTGATGCCTTAGTTCATTATATATACAATGGGACACAGGTGTGTCGACGAGCTAATTAATTAGTTCGATCTAGATTTGAAATTATGAGGGAATTTGTATTTTTTCACATTTTTTTTCCATGTTGCGTATATTGAATATGGAATGATGTTCTGTAAGTTGGTTATCCATCTTGAATGTCGATAATACTACATTTGATGAATGTATATGAATAAATCTTGTTGGAACCCTTTTGGTTTACATCTTTGATCCTCTCATTTTAGGTTTGTTTAGAAATGTTTTGAAAATCTTATTATTACGAAATGGAATTAGGTATTAGATTTTATATAAATAGGTGTTGGATGTGAAGTATTTACAGGAGAAGGTGAGAATAAAGTTAAAAATATAAATAATAAATTTTCATTAGTTACTTTTTAATATATAAGACAATAATAGGTTTTAAATCAAAGCTTTATTTGTATTTTTTTATTAACTAAAAATTAATTTTATATTTAAAATATCGTTATAATATTTATTGATATTATTGTAATTTAAAATTTATAATTCAATCTAATCCAAGTATTGAAAAAAAAAAAACGTTATAAAGCAAAATTTAAAGAAAAAAATATATAATAATATATATATATATATATTAGTTACTGACCATTAAAAAATATTAAAATTATAATGTTTAGGTGAAATTGTTTTTATTGATTTTTAAAAATATTTAATAAAATAAAATAATGTATTCTTATTGAAAATAATAGATAATATTTTATTAAAAACATTATAATATTAAAAGAACAAACTCAATTGTATATTTATAATAAGCAAGTGTAGCCCAATTATTTTGGGCCATATTTATTTATGTTTATAATTAGGCGAGGAGTTTGAAAGAGATGTTTTTAAAGGTGATAAATAAATTATATATTTATATATATTAAAAAGTGAAATGAAATTTATTAATTGGGAATACATAAATAGCAATGAGATGAGGAAGCATGAAATAATTCACAATGAATTCTTGAAATAAATAGCAATCATTATTGTGGACCGAACTATTAGCCCCTCCAATAATAATACTAATAAATTACAATATTGATTTTGATATCTTCCTTTTTCTAATTTAATACTGCTGATCATTTGCTTAGAAATACACTATTTTAGATAATATTAATTAATAAACGGGTAAACTGTTTTTTTAGTCCTATATCTACGTCATTTTAATCCCGTAAGTGGAGCCTGTCGCAAACTAGTCCTATAAATGGAAAATTTTCGTTATTTTAGTCCTCCGACGTCGGAGAAGCCCGCGTGGCTCGCCGGAAGCCACGTGTCCGTCTGGTGTCACGCCAAGTCAATACACACATGGCGAACACGTGGATTTTTTTTTTTTAATTTTTTTTTTCAATTAGACCAAATAAAAAAAAAATCAAAAAGGTAAATAAAATTAAAAATAATTTTAAAAAAAAAATTAAAAAATAAAATAAAATCCACGTGTCCATCAAATGTCGCTGACTTGGCGGACAAGTGGCCTCCGGCGAGCCACACGGGCATCTCCGGTGCCGGAGAACTAAAACAGCGAAATTTTTTCACTTATTGGAGTAGTTTACGACATGCTCCACTTACGGGACTAAAATGATAAAGGAATCTAGTTACGTGACTGAAAAAACAGTTTAATCTTAATAAATTATAATGTTATTTTATTATTTTTATATGAGTAATATTATTGATATTTTAAATATTTTTAGTATTATATATAATAGAATATATACAATATGGATATTATTTGTTAAATGATAATATTTTATATAGATAAATATATTTATTTATTGAGAAATGAGATAAGAAATAAATGATGTGTTTACTTGTGCGATTTGATTTTCGATTTTACTATTCTTAACTTTTTTTTCTCTCTAAAAAATTAAATTAAACATATATTTTTTATTTATTATAGTATTACACTAAAATTAGTTTTTACATTCAAAATATCACATCAATAGATATCTATATTACGTCAAATAATTATTTCAATTCAAAATTTTACTATTCAAAATCAAAACTCAAAACTAAAATCTTAGAAATAAAGGTTTTGAGTACATGTAAGATGTTAGAAATATAATTAAATTAATTTATATTTGTTAAGTATATTTAAAATAAATAAATTTATTAAAAATATAAATGAATTATCTTTTATGAAACGAACAAAATATGTTTGAATGAATTATTTTTTATGAAACGGACAAGGAAAAAAAAATGGACATCTTTAGTGTCAAGGAGGGAATATATAACAAGATATATTATATGTATCGCATAATATATTTAATGCTAACATATAATATTTTATCACACAACATATATTGTACTATACAGAAATATATGATTTTTACCTTTAGGGTGTGTATACTACATCAGATTATGGTGGATAATATTATTTTGCTCACTTAATCATATGTTTACTTTGATGTATTAGAGTTCTATATAATTAAATGTTCGTTAAAATTATACTAATTTATTGAATTGTTAATATAATTTAATCCTCCAATATTATTTAATCATGCTTCCTAAATTATTTAAATTATCCTTCTCTAGCATTTTATATAAATATATTAACAATATTTTCGTTTAATATATTTCGATTTCATTTGAAATGTAATTAATTATTTTTAAAAAAAAAATTAATCAATAATATAAAGTGATAAGAATGCTATAATATGGTACTAAAATTTAATTTATAATTTTGAAAAAAAAATTAAATATATTTAATAAATAATAAAAAAATGTATCAAATTATATATATATTATTTTATAAAAATATTACAATTAAATAATGTTTTTATATATTATATTTTTATAATTAGAAAGAAAAATATAAAATAAATTATATTACAATAATTTATTATAAGATTAGTAAGGCTATTTTGGATTAAAAATAATAATAATAATAACCATACCATATAATTAAACAAAGTAAATATAATAGTAGTGTAATTTATCTAATATTTAATCACATAAAGTAAATATTATATTAATTAGTCCATCGATTATATAATTCATTGAAATAATTTATATACTCTCTCCATCCCAGAACTATAGTCTGGATTGTATTTTTCACGGGATTTAAAGAATACTGATTGTATATTGGTAGTGAGTAAAAAGTATTGTAAAAGATTTTTTTGCCCTTGTGAATATATTAGTGTAAAAAAGTGTGGTAATTGTGTAATAATAATGAAGAAGTATGAGTAGTTTTATAACGATATGATTATTTATGAAAATGAGACTATTGTTCTATAACAGAAAAAAATGATAAACAGGACTATTGTATTGTATTGAGATGAAAAGAATATTATTTGTTAAATGTTTATACAATGCATATTTATATATAAAATATTGATTTAAGATATTCCAAAAGTTAACATTTGAATAGTATTGCTATATTTGTTTTATAATTCTCTCTTCATCTCACTTAATTTATCCACTATTTATATTTTAATTCTTCCCACGTCATTTGATATTTCGTTTTTGAAAAATATAATTATAAATTTTAATTATATTTTAAATTTCATAATTTAAATTTTTTTATTTTAATTAAACTATTTAATCATCGTAATCTTAATCTACACTTTTTAATTACTTACTAATTTTACAATACTTAAAATTCTATACCTAAACTAAATGATACTCCCTCCGTCCAGCTAGAAAATATATATATTTCTATTTTGGGACATCCAATTACAAAGTAAATATTTCATTAAATACCTTACTTTTTTCCACAAATACTCATAGTTTATATCACATCATTACTTTTACACCAAAAGTAAGGGTAAAAATATCATTATACTACTTTTAACTACCGCCCCAAAAGTACTTTATGTGTAAACAAAGAGTGTATTATATATTTAATATTTCAAATCAATCTATCTATTTTATTATTTTAATCCATCTGAAATTAATCTATTTATTTTATTGTTAGTGATTGTGTTTACTACATAATATTATAAAATTCTTACAACTATAATGAATGTAACATTTATTAATAAATGTTTCATAGCTACTGAAATTTAGACAAATATATAATTAAAATATAAATTAAAAAATTTTAAATATACAATTATTTTTAAAACATAAAAAAGTTAAATTATGCTATATATAAAAAAAAATAAAAAATATGAATAAATTGAATGAATTGAATAATAATAATAATAATAATAATAATAATAATAAATTGAATGAATGAATGAATAATAATAATAATAAAGTAAAATGTATGATGTATGATAGCACCGACGCATGATTGGTGTGATATGATGGGATGACATGCCAGCAGTCCAGCACCACTGTACACGTGTTCATTTTTACTAATTATTACTTCATCCGTCCTAATTCACTAGTATTGTTTATCATTTTTTTTCGTTTCAAAATAATAGTCTCATTTTCATAAATACTCATCTCACCGTCAAATTATTTCTAAATTTTTATTATTATTACACAAATATCACTACTTGTTACACTAATACACTCACAAGGACAAAAAAGTCTTTTATTCATACATTTTACCAACTGTCAATATAATATCAATATTCTTTAAATCTCATGTCCAACCCAAATAAGATTATAGTTATTTTTTATACGATCCTCCTAATATAATAATACTTCTTTCATTGCACTTATAATACTCCATCCGTCTCATAACAAAGTATTCATTTTTTTTTTAATCCGTCCCATAACAAAGTATCCATTTTCTTTTTAGTAACTGTACTATCTATCTTACATTACAATATATTACACAAATATCATTACATTTATATTACACAATACTAATAAGATTATTTTAGTGATTTCTACTTATTTTTACTAAATCATAATATAATAATAATATTTCTAAAATTCCATGTAAAAAGCAAACAGATACTTAGTTATGAGACGGAAGGAGTATTCATATTGTCATTTTTATTCGTATCACATCTCATGTTATTTTTTTAAAATTACTTACGCATCTTAATTTTATTTTAAATTTTATAATTATAATTTTAAAAATTTTAATTAAACTAAGGGCAACTTCCACGTATCTCCCTAATTCTATATTTATATTCTTATTTACTCCCTATATATTAATTTTATCTTCTTTACTCTCTATTTTTACAAATTTATTATTTTTCACTCCATATTCATGTAAAAACCTTATAGTACCCTCATTTAATTTCTTTATCATTTTTTTTTTTCAACTACACTGTAATTTTTATAATTTATTTCTACTTTTTATTAATTTAAATAT